TTAACTTTTGGTAGCAAACCATTCGGAAGTGATGGATCTTTTGAAAAACCTGAGCTAATTTTAGACCATTTTCCATAATTTTTCCTCAGAAAATATCTGTGCACACTCTTCCTGTTTCGTCCTGTATCCTTTCAACTTTTCCCCACATGAAAATTGGGTCCCATTTCAGTGGAAAACCATTCGCGTTCCAACTATTATTAAACTGAAACTGTTTTGTAACCAACCACGTGAATTGAGTCTATGCGAGAAAAATGACATGACCGGGTGGGAAATGGTGGGTGGTTCTGGACCGGGGAAATGGCGAAAGACGAGGAGGAAGCGGCTCGTGTCAAGTGTAAATGAAATTTTCAATTCTGCCATGTGGGCAAAAATCAGCAAATGTTGCTGTTGGCGGTATTGATTTTTTGTTTTCCCCGCTTATGTGGTTAAATAGTGTCACATGAGCGAGGGGGTGGTTGGACAGGCCTACCTACCAGAGGAGGTGGCTGGAGAGGTGAGAGGCTCGTGTCAGTTGTGTATTTTGCATTTTGTGGGTAAGGTCGCGTTGTAAGTGCTGCGAAAAAAGAAGACAACAAAAAGTAGAGGAACTGACAATGTCTTAAAACTTTTTAAAAGATACAAGATACAGATACGTCTTCTATGGATTGACAAACTTCTTTTCAACTTTTTTTTAATATAGCCTAGCTTATAGCATTAGAACTATAAGTTAGACTGTACCTTTATTCATATATTGCAACTCACCACAAAAATAAAACAAAGTCACATGCTATAATGACATTGACAAGGTGTCTAAATTTAGCCAAGGATTTATGTCCTGACACAAGGACCATTTCGGCTAAAATGCGTTGAAAAGAAGCCAATAAAGTATGAATATCCTTAAAGATTAGTGTCTTTTTTGCAAGTCTCTGAAAGTTCCTTTACGCAGGCCATGATAAATGGATTTTTATTGAACATTTTGATTGAGTTTCATCAGGGCCATTCGAAAACAGGTGCCCGGATCCGGATCTCGAAATGCAAATATAATTTTCTCCAGCAAGCTCGAAAATCCTCTGTGACATACGGCAATTCAATTGAACCTTATTTGCATATTTATGTCGGCAGGCAAACAAATGTAAATATGAATATATATTCACGGGCACTGGCATATGGAAAAGTACATAATAAAGTACAGTCGAGTGCTCAGTTTACACAAAAATTGAATTTCAAATCCAGAGTACAGGTGAAAATAACAAGACTACTTTTAATGCAATTGGTAAAATGTCAAAAAATATAAAAACCAAAAATATATTTTCAATTGAAAGACAAGTAATGTACAAACAAAAAAACCAATATAAAGTATACCCCTGAATAAGTAATAAATCCCAAAAGGATCACATGCTCTTGAGAAAATATTGCTTCATAAAAACCACACAAAATAAAAATGTGGTGTTTACTTTTCTTTATTGAAAATATATCAAACATGAAGCCAGTAAATTCTTCAAGACTGATTACTACAACTTTTTTGGTAGAAAAGTTACACACATTTCCATGTTATTCTGATAAAGTTTTCTAACGAGTTTCAGTTGAGAAAGTATGTAATAACATTAGCTCATTATGGTCCTTGTATGTATATTCTTGTAATATGATTAATCCTCACCTTGAAGCAGGTAATTTCCAAGGATTCATTAATCCGAACTACATAGCTCCAAACCAGAATGATTTTTACTTTTTCGTCTTGGTGCTTAAAAAAATAATATAAAGCCACCTTAAACCCTTCCTGCTATTTTTGTACTTGCTTGGAATTTCCATGTCTCATTGGACGGCGAAAGTAGGACGTACTTAAGGACACACGCTGGGACTTGAGCTACCTGACTAGAGTGTAATTACACCCAGTCCTGCATTCAGTATCCACCCGCGCTAATTATAAGCCTCAGGTTCTTTGGCTTAACTTGGCTTACATACTAAATAAAATGGGATTAGCCAGCCAGCATCTTTGGGCCTCGATTCTAATCGATTCCGCCGAAGGCCATCTTATCGATATCGAAATGTCACGGATGTGCCTAGAACAGGGTTGATGTGGGTGCAGCCATGAAAATATTCATCGATTATGTGACAACATTTGGGCTTTTATTTAGCGGCAATGTTCTTGTGGCTTTCCCTTTGCCCTTCGGTAATCTATTGAACATTTTTCGCTATTTTCCCCACATTTTCATTTCCCCTGAAATGGCCATTATGTAAAATAGTCGGCATATAGAGAAATGGGCTCAGGTAATGGTCGTTGGCTCCCGTGTGGTTCTGCCAGTTGGCGGCGATTAAACTTTGACTGTGACTTATTTGCTAAGTTGGCCGGCAAGTTAAACAGAAATCTATATAATGTGGCGGGGGAATTGGCCAATTTAGGGGCTTTTAATGCCCTGGAATAAGCTTCGAGTCAATAAAGTAGTTTTTCTATTCATTTACTGATCAATATTTGCTGATAAAATTGTTGAGGAATAAATCAAGCATAAGTTCCATTTATAATAGAGTAGTTTCTACAATTTATACCTCACTAGACCAGCAGAATTACCCCAAAAAAGTTGGCAACAATAGCATCTGCCTACCGAGGCATCCAGTGACCCGTATTCGTCCTTGGCACTTGGCTAAGACCGTCGTAAAGCTGAAATAATTCCTAAAGAACAACAGCCTAGTTAATGTCCTGCACCCGGCTCTATTTCGATCTAAATTCAAATTGGCTTTAAAAGCCAACTAAGCCGAAACCGATGAAGGTAAGCTACGAGATTCGCCAGGACATCAGGACGAGATGAGAGCAAATTCAAACAACTGATGGGGGAAGCCAAAAGGATAACCAACTTACCGCTGGGATGAGATGGAGGGAGGCAAAGAAGAATGAACGAGGACGAGGACGAGGCAGTCCTCGTTGAGGGGGTGCAACTCTGGCTCTGCCTACTGACCCAGTTACCGCTGGTAACTGTTACAGTTACTTCTTGCCACCGTTACGACGAAAGAGGCCTCTTAAATGCTCGTTTACGCTTTGTTTGGGGTTATCTTGAAGCTTGTTAAATATTTCTTTTTTTTTTTTTTTACTTTATTTTTTAATTTTTAGTTAGATGGGTTTGCTTTTGGCAGTGTTTGGTTGTGGAATTTTTGGAGATTGATTGCCCTTCGTTTGGCGATTTATTTTTAAATACTTTATCGATTGACACCTGGTGGTTTACTCAGCTCGTTAGCAAGCGTTGGCTTATTTATTTTTTTAACAAATAGACTTTGCTTTCTATGTGTAACTATTTTTTTTTTGTTACAGACTTAAATGCACTTTTAGGGTTTAAAAACTAGCTTTTCACTAAAATTTTCTCTAAGGTGGTTAAACAATTGATACCGATTTAAGATTTTAATTGGCTTCGATTGGTGTTTTAAGAAATTCTAGATTTTTTTCACTTATTTTCCGTTCTGCAGTTTTGGCCGCGCAGCCCGTTTATAGAAAAAATTCGAAGAAAATCGGAAAATACACGTCCGCACTGGGCGAAGAGCCAGGAGAACCTGAACATGAAAATCAGTACCCCAAACAAGCGGGCGAAATGGTTTCTTCTCTCTTCACCTCGCCCCCAATGGGGGGCCTGTGTTTCGCGCTCTCGTCGCACCCCACACTGCCACCAAATCTGCCACTTTTTCTCCCTCTTGCTCTCTGAGCGCCGCCGCTTTCGCTTCGGCATTATCCTGCCTGTGACATTTACAATGTCAGCCTCCGCTTTGGAGCCGAATTCGCCGCCAGAGAGAGTAGAAAGTGGTAGAAAGTGGGGGCGAGCACTGGAGAGAAAGATAAAGAAAGAGAAGCGGTGGCTAGGGGCAAAATAATTTGTTTTCGGCATTTTTTTCGACCCGGCTTGGAGGGAAACTCGCTGGGAAACTCCTTTGGGGCCCACAGGCGCTCTTTTGATTTTTAAACGAGGCGGCATGTTTTTTTTCTTCCTGTTTGGTGCCATTTTGACAGTCATATGTTGGCCAGCCACTCACCTACTTTTTAAAATTAAAGGTACATAAGTGGGTTAATATCTGAACAATATATAAAATTTAAATAAAGTTAGAAAACTTTTTTTATTTATTTTACAAACTATGGTATTTTTTTTGAAGAAGTATACTTTTAATTTGATTTAATGTAGTGTATACTAAGAGTTTCAAATGTCATCTGATTTCTTTCCAACCTGAGCAATTAATAAAAAAATTATAGAACTTTTATCCTTTTCTCTACAATAAATTGGTTTTTGAAAGCTTAAAATTGTTGCTTGTTTCACAAATAACAATTAAAAGCTTCCTTTCCCAAACCATTCATGTGCGAACTACGATTATGTGAAAAGCTTAGGATATGTGGGAAAGTACACTTGAAGAAATACTTTAACTTTTTAAAAATATATGTACATCTCGAAAAGGTTTAAAAATATGTAAATATAAGCTTTAGAGATGAAGGTATTTTTATTTAAAAACTAAAATAATTATATGTATTTTTTCCAGTAGTTTTCATAGTCCTGTTGTTATAGGTAACAAAAAAATACACTATAGCTCTCTGCACAAATGAAACTTAAAAGGCAATTATAGGGGAAATGGGATACCAATAGAGGGCTCCCTATTCCATCACGAGTGGAGGATTGGGCCACTTTAGCCTACCCTCCCGTTGACCATCAGGTGGCCATGGCCCGCTCATGGGGTTGTCATTACGGGCGCGTGCCTTTTGGCCAGCAAATTGAGCCCCGGATCTGGACTGATAAGTGGCCATTGATTCGCCAGGCAATGCCCCAATGTTACCCTGCCCCAAGACAAAAAGCCAATTGCTTTATCGTCCAACAACTGACGTCGTTTTGCCTTCAAGATCAAAGAGAAGACCCCTGGTAATTATGCGACTTGGCTCCACTTGATTGATGGTCTGGACTTGTTTCGGTTTCTTGGTTGTGCGATTGTATATTATTTATTGGGTGGTTAACTTGGTAACTGGGTGCTCTGTACTATATTCTAGGTTATGATTTGCTTAATTAGGTGAAAACGTGGGATGGTGTGGGGTGCTGAGAACGAGACTCATTTGGCTCACGATGGAGGATTTTCCTTTGGAGATAATCGTGCTCCTGCTGGCAAGGATCTAAGCTAGGGGATGAGGTACCCCTCGGCATGTTGCCCATTTCGAATTCCTCCCTTGGGAATTGGCGACTTGGAATGCGGTGGTGGAGAAAATCATGCTCTTCCAGGCAAGGATCCAAGGTGGAAGTGGGTGTAGCTAATGGCATGGGTCTTTCCTCAGGAGATTCAACCTCTTCAGAGTAATGAGGATGGATAGGACGGGGTTCCGGATCCCTTTCTATTACGTACTGCTTTTCTTGCTTTGGACCTATACTATCCATCAAGTATTGTCTCTCGTGTCTTTCTCTGGAGTTTTCCATCGAAAATATCCTTTCCTGACTTTCTCTAGAGTTTTCAATTGAGAAAGGTCTGTTTTGTCTTTCTCTGGATGTTTCCATAGGGAAAGGTTTTTCCTGCGACCTGACGGAATGTTCCGGAAAAGAACTCAATCTTCTAGCAGGCATTGGTACAAAATTTCTAACATTTCTTTCAGTGACAGGCTTCCTTAAGACCTGATTTCTTGACACAACACCAATTCTTCTCAAGTCCCAATGTCTTTGGGGTGGACTGGGTGGATTTCTCGGATGTTCCTCGGATTGGGAATCATTCTCATCGTTGCAATCCATGCCCCGGACAATGTTGTTCACGTAAATGGAAGGAGGAATACGTTTCTTGTACTTTGGCTTGGGTCTGGGCATTATCTGTTTGTTGGATATAAAGAAGTCCCTCTGTTGGGGTCCAATGGGAGGCATTTGATGGTGTGGCTTGTCAAAGTGTCCCTCGTAAAGAATTGGTTCCACATAGTTTTTGATAGGTTTGCGAAAACGAGGAGGAGGTGGATGTCTCGAGTGGGCTTAAGGTAAACAAAAGTTTAACAGCAAACGTATATTAAAAATTTGTTTATAACACTTACCATTTCGCTGAGCTGGCACCACCTGCGGACAAAGATTTGTATCCTGTTCTTCTGTGTCTTCACAGGGCTCCTCTCCACCATGGTCACCTCCAGTCCCTGATGATTTGTAAATATACAATGAATATTTGTTTTTTGGATGAGATACGCACACTTTTACCTTCGACATCTTGCTCTTGGGTTTCCGGGAACTCTGGTTGCCCCTGTTTGCTGGATTCCCCATCGCCACTGTCTCCCATGCTCTCTGCTTCGCAGCTTTCTTCTGTTGTGGTTTCCGGAACGGAAGTGGTCACGACAACTGCCGTAGTAGGCGTGACAGTGGTCGAGTTCTCCCCATCCGGTAGCTTCATGAGTTCGGCGGCCTCGGTGGTCACTATTACCTGGATGACCTCGCTGGGCTGCAAATTTCCATCTAGTTTGATTTGGGGGGGATCGGGCACATTCTTTTTCCTGGGGAGCATGCCAGTGAACCGCTTCAATTGATTGTCGGCCAGTGGGGGCTCCGTGGTAGTGGGTGGGAGGGTAGTGGTTTCCAATTCCGTGGTTGTTGGGGGTTCCGTTTCGGTTGTCGTTGTGGTTAGTTCCACTGGCCGTGTTGTCTCCTCCACGGTTGTTGTTTCCAAAGTTGTTGTGGTGCTCGTTGTGGAAGTTGAAGTTGTGGTTGTATTTTTCCTTTTTCTCGGTACTAGCTTAGAAATTCTTATGATTTTTGAATTAGGTTCTGTCGATGTAGCTATTGGGGCAGCTGTAGAGTTCAAAGTTCCATTATTAGATGGAGGTACTGGCTCTATTTTAGTTGCAGTTTTTTGCTTCTTAGCTTTTGGGTTACACTTCTTATGTTTGGGTTTCTTGTTGACTCTAGGTGGCTGAGTCGCCAAGGAGAAATTGGCACAGGGATCCTGTTTAAGCAACGGAGTTCTGAGCAGCAGCATTCTCACAAAACAAGGATGTTCCATGGGCAGTCTGTCGTCATAAACTGGCTCCTCACAGGGCGGCAGACAGTCCAAGCACTCCTCGCTTCGCGCCAAGTCATCAAACATATTGTATTCCGCGGAACCACTATCATCACAACCTATAGAACTGGCTGGCAAGACGTCTATATCCCTGGGATCCCGGTCACTGCTCGGATAGCCTTCGGCATCCCTGAAAATCATCTCTAGGAGTTCCATTTCGTGCGAGTCCAAAGGGGACCTAATTAAGGGATACCTTGCCATAATTAATTAATAATTGCTTGAGGTGCAACTCACCCGAAAGTCGTGTGTCCAAAATAGAGCACCCACAGTAGCAGCATCATCATCGGTCGAGTGCTTGGATTGATGGTTTCCATGGAAATGTTGCCCCAACCCGATCGACTTTTGGCTTTTGTTGAGTTCACGTATCTGTCGGATGCAGAACGTTTCGCTCTCACCTTCTGCCAATTGAGACATCGTTCCATCCGATCTGTAACTTATCACATCCCCCCCATAACTCGACTCCCCCACAGACAAATCATAGTTCTGGGGTCACCTTTCTCATTAGACTCTTCTCTCACCTGTCTCGGTGGCGTCTTGTTTTCTCTGCTCTTGTTTTCACTTTCGATTGCTACGTGACCTATGCTGAGTTCGGCATGTTTGGGTTTTTTATTTACCTCTGGTTCATTCTTTGTTGTCACCGGTAATACCCTAGGTGAGGGTTGGGAATGGGTGAGATAGAATGCTCAAATAATATATATGATATTCTTTATTTTTTAATGATTCTGAATACAAAGTACACAGTACCCCGCAGTCATAACAAACATTATACATCCCATTTGTTCTTGACTTCTATTTCTTATTTACTTAATTTATTTATTTTTGTTTGCCTTGTTTTCGTTTTATGCTAATTACATTTTTACTTAGCTCTCGTCCGAAATAATTTGAATAAAAAGGGGGCGTGGCAGTTCTGGTCTTATAGAGTCTGCTACCAAGTAATTAATATCCATTGAATGCTTGTGGTTTTAGCTTGGCGACAAAAAAAAAACAATTGCCAGCCATTCTTTTCGTTCACTTGAAATTCTGGGGAAACATCTGTGCAATTTGAAAAGCAGTTGCTTTTCTGTCGCGTTTTATGATAATTTCTTAGGCCATATAGTATAAGTGAATTATGAAAAATTCTTGGCTTTAAAAATTCGACTCTTTTTGGAATGAAATGACTATCAGAAACAAATGTTGTTTGGTTTCACTGATTTGGTTTAAAGCTATTGAATAACAATTTTCACCGAGGAGTTCGTGCCGATTTGATGGAAAACATCTTGCAATGGAGAAAGTGCAGATCAAATTCGAGAAGTAGGTTTCACTTTTACTAGATGATTATTTTCTCAAACAAGGAAGTAAGATTCAGAAGCTCAAAAGCCAAAAGACTTATACTCAAAGCTCCTAATGAATCCCAATGAATGTTAAAATATTCTCCCCAAATTTTTACCATGTCTCTGTCACATTCCAAGCTGTCAGCCTCCAGAAAAAAATATACATACTATTTAAGGAATGAGCTTGGGGACAGGATGGTCTTGTCATTACCAAATGGCATTCGCTTGTAATTTTTCTTGTCTTTCTCAAGAAATCTTTGCAGCTCTCCAGCTTCCCTGCTTACATAAAAATCAAAATCCTCCCGAGGTGCTTATTCTCAATCAATATTTGCCTCTTGGCTAAAAACTGAAAATTTTCCAATCAAATGCCGGCCAAAGAACATCTCATGTTTACATAAAAATATTGGTTTAGAAGCGTTTATTAAATGGAAACCACATAGCTGTTATCTTGAAAAGGTTTTCCCCATTTTCCATGTTATCTCCTTGATATCCTTTTTATGCGAAGCATGCAACAGTTTTATTTTTTTTTGGTGGGCTCAGCACGCAACAACGTTCTCTAAATAATGTTGACAGAAGCGTATCAATGTCACAGTGGGTTCTAGGGGCATGGTGAGGTCACAAGGAACATGGGACATGACAGATGGCTCAAATGCCTGAGGACGACAAAGTAACACGATAAATAAAAAACAGTGGGTCTTCCATAAATCAATCTATAGGATACAACATGCAACATTTTGGTAACAAATTTGTAACAATTTATAAAAATTGTTTTTTAAAATTGAATAGGTTTTCTAGTATTTTACAAAAACATGGGATTATATATTAGGTAGGGTTGTTAAGGATGTTGAACTGTACTAAGAATAACTTAATGTCCTACAAAATATAGATATTGTCAGAAACACAGCTCAGACAGGGCGTTTTTCTTGACGGGTTTTTGTGAGGATTTCAGACTGTCTCGTGCTAAGCATTGTCGCGTGGACATCGTGAGTGGTTAATTTATAAATTGATAAAACCTGTTATCTAACATTTGCAATCGGTGCCGATTTTCTTTGGTTGACTTCAGTTCGGTCGGGTTTGAAGCTGTTTCAACGGCCTCAGGTGCGACACTGACACTGATATTGGTCATCAATGTAACCGACCGAAAGTTGATAAGACTTTGCCCATATTTTCATCGGTTGGGTGTTGTGTTGGCCCAGCAGCGAAGATGGATCACATTTTTATCACATTTATGACAGTAGTACGTTAATTTTTCAAATGTGCCTGCCTACCTGCATGTGCTACATACGAAATTTGTTTATCGAGTGAGAAATTTAAATAATTGAATTTAACTAATCCACTGACTTTACAGCAATAACTTTTAAACAGGTTGTTTGTTAAAGGATTTAATTTTAAAACCTCAATGTAATATATCTTCAAAAAGTCTTTTTCTGTCTTTAGTTCTCACCATTATTATCTTTCCAGGTACATATTTTAAAAATTTAAATTAAAATAAAAAAAATGTATTTAATTAATATTAATTTTTAGAAATATTTAATACACTTTATAATCATACTTTAAAGTGATTAAGTTTATTAGCTTTATAATTCTATATTTTCTTTCTTTTCTTTCCCCAGTGGCGCCCTCTGTGGTAAATGTATCTATTATACATTTTGTAAAAGGTTTGTGTCTCAGCTGATTCGCACGCAAATCGCTAGCGACTAAAAACGCACGTAAGCCGCTTACACACTGGGGATTCCCACTTTTGAAATAAATAAATAAAACTCAAATATATTATTTTTATGTGAAACTTTTTATTTCGTTTCAATTTTGTATTTTTTTTTGGTTTGTTTTGTATGTTTAAATACTTATTAAAATTGTTTTTGTTTTTTATTTTTCGTTTGTTGTTGCTGTGTTAGCGTCTGCTTTCTGTTGTTCCATGTGTTTGTTTGTGTTTTTGCTTGTGTTTGTGTGTGTGTGTTGTGTATTTTTTTTTGTAAATTTTCTTTTTTTTGCTAAATGAAGTTTTGCGATTTTTTTGAGATTTTTTTTTGCGACGGTAGCTAATGTTTACTATATAGTAATTGTATAAATAGATGCATGTATGCGCTTTTAGGTGTCTGTTCGCGGGTGTGTGTGGGACTGGGAGTATGTGGTTTTATGCAGGTGAGTATGCATGTATGTGTGTGAGGGGGAGTTTGGCCTTTAGCTTAGCCTTTGCATTCTGAGCGTTTTTCTATCGGTTTGCGTATCAATTCGTTCATTTTTCTTATCATTTCAATAATATTTCATGTTTCTTAGTTAGGAATGGAAAAAAATTACAAGCATAATGGTAGAAAAAACTTTACAAATTACATTTCCTTCAAGAAGATACGGCATTTAATTTCAGACAGAGTCAGATCAGAAAGATAGAGAGAGACAGGGCGTTCAGACGGAGACAGAGATAGAGAGATGGATGAGTAGTGTGGCCGTCTATTTACAAAAGTATTTATTCTCGAACCGCTGACAATAGTCGCAGATTAATTGGCAACAGCGTCCGTTGTTGAATCGACAGCGGCACTTCTCCACCTCCTTGAACACCTGCGTGGTCCAGCCACGCCCACAGCACAGGGTACCACAGTTGTCGGGATGCAGACACTGGCGATCCTTGGTGACCGAGCAGTAGGAGGGCGAGGTCTCCAAATAATACAGCGTCGTATATTGTGACTGTTGTGGCTAAAAATTAAATAATTTCAATTAAAATCGATAGTTTATAAATTTAAAATAAAATAAACTAACTTTCTTGCGTCGCTGTTTGGGCTTTCTCATGCGACTCGAAGGAGCCTGACGCATAGTCCTTAAATTAGGAGCCTTGCGAATGGCCTGGTTGTACTTCTGTCTCAATAGTGTGGCCGTAGCATTAAAGTCGGCCATTTTCTTCCAGCAGGTCTTCATCGAACAGGAACCGGAAACGCCATGGCACTTGCACTTGTCCATCATTAGCGAGGAGACGGCCTCAATGCCAACCTTTTAATAAATTTTAAATATTAATTTAAATTATATAATATGTTTGAAATTTTTATTTACCTCTGAGTCATGTCGCAATATCTCACTGACTTCGTCTCCATCGCCGCCGCGCAAGTCCAGAAAGCGTCTCGTTACCCTCTTTCCATGCTTGAGATTATCATTGCATCCGCCCCACTGAAAGTCCTGCTCCTCCCGGTTGTGCTTCTTGGCCCCGCAACTGCACTTGGTCATCCTACCCTCGGCACAGGCCCTGGCTATGGAGTGGGTCATGGCGGCTGCTGTCAAGGCATGGACGAAGGCCGTCTCCTTGTAGAGCTTCTTGAAGATGTTCCTCTTGCCACGGGTCTCGATCGAACAGTTCCAGCGATCGTACCTGAACTGCTCCTCGCAGTGGGTGGTGGCCAGACGACGTGCCTCGCTCAAGGTTCCTGGTAGTCCTGTTTCCTTTCGACACTGGTGGTTCTGCTGCCGGGTGGCAGGCATGTACCGACAGGGTCCACCCACCTGTCCCTGGGAGGTAAACACTGCCATCACTGTGTGCTCCGAGATGAAGTGTTCACTAGGGATTAGAAAAATAAATATTAGAAAGGGTACAACAATATCTTGAGTTTAAATCTGAAATGATTTAGAAGTTTATTTTTAATAGGAAACTTGAAGCTCTCAATTATAGTTTCTGATTACTTATTGAAAGCTTTGTGAGAGGTAGGCTTTGAACTGAAAGCATCGTTTTATTGTTTGTTAAAAAAATAAAAAGAAAAATTAAAATTTTTTTTTTCCAACCACCAAAAAAAATATAAAACCACTCTTATTTACTTAATCTTGCGGCCATTCTCGGGCAAAACCAACTTAATGGGCTGGCAAAACCCTCCCAGTTCCATCAAAATCAAGCCGCCTTCGAAAAAGAAAGCCTATTCTAATTTTCAAGATGTCGATTCCAGCGACTCCGAGCATGGAGAAATGAAGCGGAAGTCTGCTAAAAAACCCATTATGGAAGACGAACCTACCACCAGCGAAGCAGCCAGAGCTGCACTTAAAGCTAATATTGAAAAAAATTATTATGCAATTCTTTCTGACTTAGACGATGAAGATCGTGTCAGCGACATGGAGGTTGACGTTATGAAGAAAAAAGATGATAAGAAAACCAAGCAACCTGCGGTAAAAACGGCGAAAATCATCAAACCGCCCCCAATTTTTATCCCGGACGTATCCAGCATCAAGGGCCTTTCCAAAGACATTTCCCACCTCTTAGGCGGGGATGTTGAAGTGACCTACAAAGCAAGCACTAACAACACAATTCGGGTCATGACTCCAAATAAGGATACTTACTCAACTCTGAAAAAGTTCCTGAGCGAAAATAACCATCGATACCACACATTCCAGCCCCGAGACGAGCGCGCTTATCGGATCGTCGTTAAAGGCCTCCACTTCTCCACCGACCCGGAGGATATTAAGGTGGGTTTCAGCAGCCATGGACACAAAGTCAGGGATATACACAATCCTATGCAAAAAGGTACAAAGAAGCCACTAAACATTTTCTTTATTAACCTCGAGCCAGCCAAAAACAACAAGGAGGCCTTTCAAGTCAAGCGGCTATGCAGCACGGTGGTTACGGTTGAGCCACCAAAAAAATTCGACGATGTGCCCCAATGCCATCGCTGCCAGGGCTTCGGTCACACGAAACGGTACTGCCATCTGGAGTACAGATGCGTAAAGTGTGGAGATAGGCACCCATCGTCCGAATGCACCAAAATTGCCAGTGAACCAGCAGTCTGCCTCCACTGCGACGGATCACATGCGGCCTCTTACAAGGGCTGTCCAGCCTACAAAAAGGCAAAGAGCACGTTCGCCCCCAAGCAGGCTGCCCCAAGACGCCAGCAACCTCAATTCAGCAAAATTAACCCTAACATCAGCTATGCTAGCGCAGTCAAAAACGGAGCACCACAGTTTGACTCCAACCCCAATCCCGATCCCAGTCTTTCAAGTAATCCAATGGACGCCCTAACGGCTAGGATGGAATCTATGTTTGAGCGCATGATGGAGAAGGTCTTGAGCCAAATAGCCCAAATGATGGCCACCGTTTGCAAATCCTTGTGCATACGCAATTAAATATAACCATATGGAATGCTAACGGCCTGGTAAAAAGAAGGCCAGAGGTCGAGCTATATTGCAAGACCCTCCAAGCAGACGTTCTCCTCATATCAGAAACGCATTTTACCAACAGATCATACTTGACTATTAGAGGATACGACCTCATTGCCGCTAACCACCCGAACGGTAGAGGTCGCGGGGGCGCGGCCATCCTTATTCGCAGCTGCATCAAGTATGAGGCACTTCCAGCCATGTGCGAAGACTGGGTACAATGTGCCCAAATTAAAATCTCCACTACCAACGGTGACATAACAATCGCCGCAGCATATTGCCCCCCAGGCACAACATCCACGAACAGGAATTCGGCTTGCTACTGGATTGCCTCGGCCCCAAGTTCATAATCGGAGGGGACTTTAATGCTAAACACCCCTGGTGGGGCTCCAGGATTACAAACCCAAAGGGCTCGGCCCTATACAGGCAGATTCAGTCCCGAATCTTGAGCTGTCACGCAACCGGTGCACCCACATACTGGCCTACGGATCCCCACAAAATCCCTGATGTGCTAGACTTCGCCATCTCCGGAGGACTGGATTCTGCCGGAATTCAAGCGAGAGAAGTAGAAGACCTCTTCTCGGACCACAGCGCCTTTGCCGTGTCACTTTTCACCCCAGCCTTGCTCAGGTCAGCCCGCAAAAAGCTGATCTACAAGACAACAGACGTTGACAAGTACCAATCCTACCTGAACAACGTTACCGACCCCAGCCCGACACTTGACTCCCCGGTTGACATCGACACCGTTGTAGAAGAGTTAACAGCCCATATTCAGGCGGCAGCTTCTGAAGCAGCACCAAGGCCCTCCAACCGCCCAAGAGCCACTGACAGGGACATCCATTTTTGGAGCCCAGAAGTCGAAGAACTCAAACTTGAAAAGCGACGACTCCGAAGAGTGTGGATGCTCTCAAGGAATCCTTTGGACAAAACCGCCTTCAATAGAGCGACCAAATGTCTGACAGAAACTCTGGCAAGACTAAGGAAGCAGGCCTTTGACGGGTTCGTCGAACAACTTGAGCCAGGCGACCCTCAACATAACTTATGGCGAGTCACCAAATCTATCAGACAGCCGCTGAAAAGGATCCCACCTGTACAAAGAACCGACGGCAGCTGGTGCAGATCGGAGATGGACAGGGCCAACGCTTTCGCCGAACACCTCGAAGGTGTCTTTACGCCTTTCGATCGCTGCTCACCGGAGGATGCTGCTGAAACTGCCCGTCTGCTAGCCGAGCCTTCTAGGGACGCCGATCCAATACCACCAGTGACTGAGGAGGAAACAGCTGAGCTTATAACCATCATGAGCAACAACAAGGCCCCGGGCGATGATGGTATCAATGCAATTGCATTAAAAATGTTACCACCTCCAAGCATTCAGCTAATTACGAGGATCTATAATAGATGCTTGGAGATAGGGTACTTCCCGTCCACATGGAAACGTGCCCAGGTAACTATGATACCTAAGCCCGGGAAACCCGAAGCAAACCTTTCGTCCTACCGACCAATAAGTTTGTTACCAACGCTCTCCAAAATACTTGAACGAGTGTTTTTAAGCAGAGCACTGCCAGTATTTGACGAGGCTGGACTGATCCCTGACCACCAGTTTGGCTTCAGGCGGCGACACGGTACGCCAGAGCAGTGCCATCGGGTAGTGCAGTGCATCCTGGACGCGTTTGAAACCAAGAAGTACTGCATGGCCGTCATGCTGGACGTGAAGCAGGCGTTTGACCGAGTCTGGCATCCCGGTCTTCTATATAAATTAAAGACTGGCCTACCCCGACCATACTTCCAGTTCCTAAAGTCGTTCTTGGAAGACCGTAAATTTGCTGTTAGATGTGGCGAGGCCATCTCCGGTATTAGAGAAGCTCACGCTGGTGTACCCCAAGGCAGCGTTCTTGGCCCGTTGATGTACAATGCTTACACGGCCGACCTCCCTGTTCTTCAGAGGCCTGACCTGCTCGCAGCAACCTATGCAGACGACACCGCCTTCCTTACCACCGCCGATAGCGCATTGGGGGCAGCCGATACGATGGAATTGCAGCTTGACTTGCTCAGCGACTGGCAAAAGCGATGGAACATTGCCGTCAATAACGAGAAGTCCACTGCCTCCACATTTTCTCTCTGCAAAGGCAACTGCCCTCCAGTTAACCTTAACGGCTCTCCAATCCCACAGGTAGACAATCCCAGGTACCTGGGATTCACCCTAGACAGGAGGCTCACCTGGAAGCCCCATCTGATTAAGAAGAGGAAACAGGCTATTCAAAGACTTCGATCCTTCAACTGGCTTATGGGTAGGAGATCGAAGCTGAGAACTTCCACTAAACTCCTCATTTACAAGGCAATAATACGCCCTATCTGGACGTACGGCATACAGCTCTGGGGAACTGCGAGCAAGACGAATGTCCGAACTATGCAAGCTTTCGAAAATAGAGTCCTTCGAATCGCCACTGGGGCCCACGTCTATCATGACAATCGCACTATCCACGAGGTTCTCAATTTCCCTTGGGTCAAGGACGAGATACAAAGAAGCAGCACACGTTACATGCAGAGGCTTCATAATCACCCGAACCGGTTGGCCAGCTCCCTGCTGGACAGCAGCGAGCAACCCAGAAGACTTAAAAGGACACACCCGCTGGACCTCCCCTTACTACTCTAATTTTTTTTCTACCATATTAATATTTAAAAATATCTATACGTGAAGTTTACGTGATAAAATTTAATGGTTGTCCCTAATGGACAGTTTTAAATAAACATTACCCTGCTATTACAAAAAAAAAAAAAAATTATAGTTTCTATGTATTTTTATCTACTAATAAATCTAACAAAATTCTGAAAATATTTTATGGCAAAAACTTTCAGAAATTACAAAACATAAAAGCCTACAACTTTTACAACCAAAGATACACAACCAACACTCCCTAAATGTGGAAGTTTATATGACTTTATTGCAACAACATATCAACAAATCATGGTATGCTTTTCTTATCAATCTCCAACTTGTGTGGCTTTCGAGGAATCAGGAAAAGAATTTCCCATGAATTGGTTGCCTCTCTATGCTCTAAAAGTTACCAGTTATTTGAAAGTCTTTGCCGCCCCGTTTGGAAAAGAAGCCGCCGGCGCGCCGGCATGCTGGAGCAGCAGCAACAGTTCACCTCAGCCATTTCCTGTCCAGCTTCGGTTGGGTTATCATTTTGTGGCACCCACTCTCCCCCCTAGTATGCTGATTTGCAGGAAATCTTAAATTCTCATAAAATTTAAGTGCATCGTAAATTGGCGTATGAGTAACGAGCTCAGCATACATATATATACATATCTGGCCATCTGAATCTGAATCTGAATCCCCGACTATCTGACTATTTCCGTCTCCGTTTTCGCTTTGAGGCAAAGATTTTTCCTCATTTGAAGATTTTTTTTATGCGCCCG